TTGTGATTTGACAGGAAGCGATGTATATACCCCGGAGAAATTTCACCCTCTGAAGCTACACTAACATTTTCCGTGAGAAATCTGTGATCAAAATTCTGACAAAATTAAGAGCTGATGCAAAAAGGACAAAATCCTCTGAAGCATCATCATCAATTAATAAATGAGCTTCCCTTCTACGTTCAAACTAGTGTTCCTTATAGAAAAGTTCGTTATCCATGCTCGTTTAGAGATGTGTGTTTGCCGGAAGGATTGGTTGATCGAGGAAAAATATGCATGAAAGGAAAGTCGATTTAATCTATAAAGAATTATTGGAGGTTGATCTAGACGACGACGAGCGAAAAACACCTATATTACTGAAGTTACAAACACTACTGAAACAGTGAAGACACCATCAAAAATCTGAAGTGTGAAGTCACTATTGAACTATGAACACACTGCTGCTGCTATCTAAGATTTTAATTAGTGTAGGTCGTCCAAGATACGTCGCCAGCTTTTGTAATGAAATTCTATTGTTTTTCCCCTTCATTTCAAAGTTGTTTGCATTTGCAGACTTCTTAGACAGTTTTTGCCATATTATTTGAACAAGATACAACCCAAACTTCATCATCAAGTTGTTACTCTACTTGATTGTACTTGTACATGTATCTGTGTTAAATTAGTTGATAAATTTCTTTTTAAGATACAGATATTTAAGGGGGTGTTTGGTTCAATTTCTACAAATTATAAGAAAAAAATATGATTTCCTTGTATTTATTAAAAAATTTATAGGAAAAGTTTTGAGAAATAAAAAAGTACCAATTTTCTTGTTTTTTTTACTTTGCTTGTTTGGTACAAAACAAGAAAATGACTCATAACTTTATAGAAAATAACAAGATTTTCTATAATCTGTAGAAATTGAACCAAACACCCCCTAAATTTATAGAAAAATGTCAACTTTATAGAAAAGTGTCAATGTGGTGTCAGATTTTTGGGTAATTTCCGTCCATTTTGAGAGGAAATTGATTTACAGAAAACATTTCTGTAAATGTTTTTGAACCAAACACAGTTTACGAAAATCTGTAGAAAATTTTTAAAAATTACAGAATTACCATTGTCAGACATTTTGAGAAAATTTTTCTATAAAATTGTGCAACCAAACACCACCTTAAGAAAATCAGGGACCTGGTAGGGCCCACCACTGTCCAGGCATAATTAAGCTCATCCCAGTTAATTAATGACCAATTTTCGAGTCAATAAGAAAAGCAGTAAGATAGTTTTAATTATGCAAAATAATTATGAGATCTTAAGCACTATGAGAAGAATATGATCATAACAATAATAAAATCATAACTTACTCATTACATGCATTGTAAAGCTTCTAAACAACTTCATCATCAAGCTCGCTTGTGTCGACTCGCCTACAGCCCGTTGCGCTCGAGCTCGCCTGCAAGATCTCGCGTCGACCTCGCCTGCGCTCACTACAAGAAATTACATCTTTAACAAAGGGATTTCCCTTCGTTAAAGCACTGAAAACCTTCGTTATTGTATGCTAACGACGGGGAAAAATCCCTTCGTCGCCCGTTGTTGAAGCCCTCTTCGCTAAAGGGTCACGAAGGGATATACTACCCATCGTTATAGAGTCTATAACGACGGAACATATTACCGTCGTTAATATTTACGACGGTAATTATCACCGTCGTTACCATCAGTAACGGGGATATTTTTTCGTCGTTACCATCAGTGACGGGATATTTTCCCGTCGTTATCGTTAGTTACGGGGATATTTTCCCGTCGTTACCATTAGTTACGGGGATATTTTCCCATCGTTGAAGACTAATTAATGACGGTTGGATACCGTCGTAAAAGTCCTCATAATGGGTAATTAGTAACCCATCAACGACGGTGCTTTCCCTTCGTTGATGAACAAAATACGGTTTATAAAACCGTCATTATAGACTACAAATTTCTAATATACATCAATAATAATTTTTTCATTCATAGGCAACTATCATATTATTCTCAATCTGACATTAAGATTCACAACAAAAATATATTAAAAATACCCAACAATGAATAAGAGGGAAACAAAAAATTCCATTCATTAATAACATCAATAAATAAAATTACACCATCCTCAAATATTCAATACTAATAACAAGAGTTAATATCCTAATCGTTCCAAAGAAAAATACATGAAACTATCTAAAACTAATTAAAATAAAAGTTTGTGGAAGACACATTCTTTCATCTCTAATCATCGTCAGTCAAAAGAAGACTCGAGCTACCCCCCTCCTAATCTTGCATGGATAGCCTGAAAATTTTTAAAAAATCACATAATTAAGAAATATTAATGAAGAAAATATTATCTTATTAAGTAAAAATCATATTTTTTTAGTGCAAGTAGTCAATCATAAAAGTATATAAGAGATTCCACAAAAAATAATTACCTAGTCCTGCACACGTTCTTGAGTTTGAGGAGCCAATGAAGGTGATTGCCTAAAAAAAAGTTCTTGCATAGCTTTCACTTGTGACTCCAACTCAGACATCCTTTGTTGTTGTTGCTCCTGCTCATCTAAGCGTTGTTGAAGCATCTGGTTCTTTCTCTTTTCTTCTATAACCCGTGCTTCCAGATCAGATCGACTAGGGAGTGGTCCTCTCAAATCTTTCAAAGTAGTCCCGCCACCAAATACAGTGATGTGACCATGAGATTGCTTCCCCCAGATTTTCTCAACTATCTCAATGTCAGAAAGTGAAGGGTTTGCTTGTTTGACTTGAACAATTTCATCCTATAAAAATTAAATTCATATGTTAGTACTATATAATGCATCATTATCAAACTTAAACACATATTCTACTTACATATTTATCTTGATCCCCATTTTCTAGTGTTTCATTAGCTTTCTTTCGAGTTTCATGAAACATTTTTACCACATCAGGTGGATTTCCTGACTTGCCATCCTTATTCAAATATTAAATACAAATGAGTACAACATCAAACTAAAAAATAAAGTAGTTATAAATAAATAGGAAATTAGTTTTGAATGTATACCAATTCCCACGCAATTTGTCTAAAGGATTTGCTGCCCGTGTGGTGGAGCATCTTTCTTTTGCCTCTGTTAAGTGTATTTTGTTGGCTTGCTTTCTATACATCAAGATTAAAAGATAATTTTAACAATCCAACAATATACATGGAACAAAATTAATAAAATTAGGAGATTAATACCTGGAATTTTGAAGAAAAATAATGTTCCTTAACTAGCCAATCCCAGTCATCAACACTCACTTCTGTAGGTTTATTTCTAAGTGCAACTTGCAATGAATTTTCTTTCACATATTTCCTGTGCATGTCACCACGCCACTTATTCCACAAATCGCGCAAGTATCTCATTACTGACTCTCTCTTTTGCTCCATGTCATCAGCATCAAATTTATCCTATATCAAATTTGAATCAAAATTTAATTTATAAGAATTAAAAACCAAATGCAAAAAATTAATTTTCAATGTACCTTAATGGATGCCCACATATGATCTTTATTTTGTTGTGGTATTTTGGCCCAATTCTCAACAGCTACTGGGCAAATATTTCTATCTCGAATAATAATTCCAAGATATCGTGAAAATTCTGGTTCAATAGCTCTATTCTGATAAAAAGTAATGATCTTTTTCTCCCCATGTGACAAATTATTCAACTTTAGACACTTATTATTACCACGAGGTGGATTTTTCTTCTTATGAGAATTATCAGCTGCATACATCATATCATATGTTAGAAACAAGATATAGTTAAAGAAATTGATAAAAATATTTCTTCTTGTAATTAATAAAGAATATACCTTCTTGTCGAGATTCATTTAGTATTGCATCATCACTTTGCACTCGATGATTATCTGATTCTGCAAAAATTGAGCAATTATTAATCCAATCATAAAAAATAAATTGAAAGATAAAAACAAATAATAATAAATTTTAAGTCTCATCAACCTGCAGAATCATCATTCTCTTCATTGTTAGTATTTGCACTTCTCCTGCGATTTTGTGCAAAATTCTCCTCTTCAAAGTTTTCTGAATCAGCGCTAAAATTTGCATCCATATTTTGATCTTGTGTTGGATTTTGAATATTCAAGTTCATGTCATGACAAGTACGGAGTTGTTCCCTTCTTAATGAATTTTCTGCAATTGCTTGAAGTCGCTTCCTAATTAATGACCTGGGTGCTAGAAATTGTGCCTTTTTGCTTTTGGAAGTGACTTCTTGAGTTTTCATTTTCCTGCTATGAAAAGGAATTTAAGTATTACACACTATGTATGAAACAAATATCAAAAGAGAAATGAATAAAAGAAGAAGATATCACGAAGGACAAGCATAACAATAAATACATAATACACTAATGTAGAAGCACTTGCTGCAATGTCAAAGCCACATCCAAAATATGAAGAAAAGAACATCATATGTCTAAAAAAGGAATAGTTATAGTGAAGATACAACTTAAATTTTATCTCAATAACACAATATCATTTGTGTTCTATTCTTTAATTAAAGCGTTCTAATTCTCTGCTTGAGTCTTTTTCCTCTTTTTTGAAGTTGAGACCGAATTTACAATAATTGGATCAATATCACTCCTTCTCAAATTGATATAATCATCTTCCAATGATGTTGATGCAATAGCCTGAGCATCAAATGATTCATCTTGCAAATAAGCTTCAACTCCATCGTCTGTTATCCCACAATCATCTGTATCTGGTGGCATATCATAGGAATCACGGGGTTGTGCTTTAAGAACTACATGCCAACCTTCATTGGCAATATCCTCAACATAAAAAACTTGTGATGCTTGGCCAGCAAGTATAAAGTGGTCATTCGTCTTTAGCAAGTGTCGGCAGTTAATACTGATAAATCCATATTTGTCTTCTTTCAAAGCGGTCCCTTTTCCTTTGCCGTGCACATCCCACCATTTACAACGAAATAGAACAACCTTTCTTCTACCAGGATACTCTAATTCGACAACTTCAACCAAAGCACCATAATAATCTATATCTCCACCATCACCAGCATCACCAACAACTGCAACCCCACTACTTTGAGTTGACAAACAATTATCTCGACTTTCTGTATGAAATCGATGTCCATTTATGACAAATCCAGTAAAACATTTAACAATCTTACTTGGACCACGAGATAGTGAAAGTAAGTCATCATCTTCTCGATAACTCTGATAAACCTAAACAAAACCAAAATATGATCAAGTCATGGAACATGTAATAAAATGAACCAATCAAGATATTTAAAAAATAAGGCAAGATATATACGTACTAGAGCTTGGAACCACTCGATAAAGTTCTTATCCCAATCTTTATCATCATAGTGATTTGTGGGTTCTCTCACGAATTCATTGTAGTCCCTACATTAAAATATCATAAATATGATTAACGTTGACTAACTATAGTAAATTTATTAGTAGAATCTTAAACTTTAGTGACTTACTCAATGTGTGGTTGCACTTCATCACAGTTCTTTAGAACATAAATATGAGCTTGCAACCACTCACGTTCATCAAGGTAGCGGGTGGTGGCAGCACCCAATGCCCGCCCACTATGTCTGAAAATAGATAGTTGTGCTTCATTACATTCTCTATTGTCATCTTCATAATTTCTTTCAAGGCGATTAAACTTTGTCTCGAAGCCTTTTAGATATCTTGAGCAAAAAGTCATGCATTCATCTGCTATATATCCTTCAGCAATTGACCCTTCTGGACGTGCCCTATTTCTGATATATGACTTATAAGTATAAAGCTGACGCTCCACTGGGTACATCCATCGAAATCGAACAGGCCCTCCAAGTATGGCTTCAGATGCTAAATGAACTACTAAATGCAGCATAACATCAAAAATTGAAGGTGGAAAAATCTTCTCAAGCTTACATAACGTAAGTGGAATCTGCTCATCAATTTGCTTAAGTTCATCCACCCTTAATGTCTTGGCACATAATATAGTGAAGAATATGGAAAGTTCAATAATTGCTTCACACACTTTTGCATGAAGAAGGCCACGAATCGATACAGGAATCAAGCGCTGCAAAAGAACGTGACAGTCATGACTCTTTAACCCCAAAATCTTACGCTCTTTAAGATTTACACATTGAGAAATATTGGATGAAAATCCATCTGGAACTTTTAACTCCTTTAGAAATCGACAAAATTTGCTTTGCTCTTCTTGGGATAAAGTATAACAAGCTGCTGGCATCACAAGTTTATCTCCTCTCTGGATTGGATGTAACTCCGGTTTTAAACTCATTGCTTGTAAATCGAGACGGGCTTTGATATTATCCTTTGTCTTTCCTTTAATGTTCATGATTGTTCCCAGCAGACTATCACAAATATTCTTCTCAATATGCATGACATCTAAATTATGTCGCAATAAGAGAGTTCTCCAATATGGCAAATCAAAAAAAATACTTTTTTTATTCCAATTATCTCCCCGTCTTTCGTGTGATATTTTAATTTTCTTCTCTGGATGATTGGTCAAGGTGATCCCTATAAGATCTTCCACCTGCTTAAGGATGTCATCTCCGGTCAGCTTCGGCGCTGCATACCCTCTCTCCCTAGTGCCATCAAATGATTTCTTATCCTTTCTCCAACTGTGATTTTCATCAAGATAGCGACGATGCCCCATATAGCTCTGCTTGCCTCCATATTTTAACCTGATAGAGTGAGTGTGCTTATTACAACAAGGACATGCTAATTTCCCCTTAGTGCTCCATCCAGATAAATTTGCATAAGCAGGAAAATCATTAATGGTCCAAATTAGTGCTGCACGTAAAATGAAATTCTGTCTCAGAGATACATCATATGTTCGAACGCCTGAGGCCCACAACTCCTTTAGTTCTTCTATCAATGGTTGTAAGTAGGTGTCAATAGCATCTCCAGGACCAGTTGGACCAGGAATGAGCATAGATAAAATAAAATTAGATTGCTTCATGCACATCCATGGTGGTAAGTTATATGGTACAAGTAAAACGGGCCATATGCTATAAGAAACTTTTGAATTTGTGAAAGGTTGGAAACCATCACTTGCAAGACCGAGCCTAACATTTCGGGGCTCTTCGGCAAAGCTTTCATGTAGCTCATTAAAGTTTTTCCAAGCCTTAGAGTCAGCTGGATGCCTCATCACTCCGTCCTCAACTTGTCTTTCATGGTGCCATCTCATATCAGAAGCTGTCTTCGAAGACATGTAAAGCCTTTGCAATCGTGGCTTAAGAGGAAAATATCGCAATGTCTTTTGTGGTATTTTTTTACCATTTGCCTTTCGCTTGATCTCTTTTCCATGTTTATCAAGTTTCCATCTAGAAGCACCACATCTCTGACACGTATCAAGACCTTCTTCATTTTTCCAAAACAGCATGCAAGAGAATGGACACGAATCAATTTTTTCATATGATAGGCCAAGGTCTCGGATTAATTTTTTGGCCTCGTCATACGAATTAGGCAGTGTTGATTCCCCTGGCAATAGCTCCTCATTCAAAAACTGGAGCAACATTGAGAATGATTTATTACTCCACCTATTTAGGCTCTTTATGTGAAGTAGTTTCACTAAAGCAGATAACTTTGAACATTTAGAGCCTTCATACAAAGGTTTCTCGGAGTCACCTAAAAGACTGTAGAATTGTTTTGCATGTCCATCTGGTTCCTGCTCAAGAATATCCTGACTCGACGTGGCATCAGGTGCAACAACGCCAGTTGAATTATGAAATAAATCTCCAATCATTTCTTGCATTTCATCGTCACTCTGGCTTTCTTCTATCATTTCTTCTTGTTCTTCATCAAACTCCGAAATGGACTCACCCTGTCTTTCGCCGTGATGACACCAAAATCTGTAGTTTTTAATAATTCCATGAGGTTTTAGAATATGTAGATCAAGTTGAACGGAACGGATCATCCACAATGTAGCTCAATCAAGTGATCATCAATGGATAAGAAACTTAGTGGACGTCCACTTAAGTTGACAGAAGTTTTGCTCTATATATATATATATGACTATATATATATATACGAAGAAACCAATAAATGTGTGTGTATAGATAATTGAGCTTAGAGTATATAACACACATAATATAAATCCTAAACTAAATTACCCAAGCTAGATCTTGATCTTCAATAAGCTCTTCTAGGTAATCTCGCGGATGAAGCTTTAACTTGGATCTTGAACTTTGAATAGCAAGGCTTCACCGACATTCCGCCAACCTCCTTTGGATATGATTGTTGAAGCTCTATTCCATCCATCCTCCAGCTCGTTGTTTGTCTATAATAAATAGATAACACAAGCACTAGACAAACAACATTAGTTGTAAATTGTTTGTTAAACATCATCAAAACAAAAAGGCCAACAAGGATGTCATCTCCTATCAGCTTCGGCACTGCATAACCTCTCTCCCTAGTGCCATCAAATGATTTCTTATCCTTTCTCCAACTGTGATTTTCATCAAGATAGCGACGATGCCCCATATAACGCTGCTTGCCTCCATATTTTAACCTGATAGAGTGAGTGTGCTTATTACAACAAGGGCATGCTAATTTCCCCTTAGTGCTCCATCCAGATAAATTTGCATAAGCAGGAAAATCATTAATAGTCCAAATTAGTGCTGCACGTAAAATAAAATTCTGTCTCAGAGATACATCATATGTTCAAACGCCTGAGGCCCACAACTCCTTTAGTTCTTCTATCAATGGTTGTAAGTATGTGTCAATAGCATCTCTAGGACCAGTTGGACCAGGAATGAGCATAGATAAAATAAAATTAGATTGCTTCATGCACATCCATGGTGGTAAGTTATATGGTACAAGTAAAACGGGCCATATGCTATAAGAAACTTTTGAATTTGTGAAAGGCTGGAAACCATCACTTGCAAGACCGAGCCTAACATTTCGGGGCTCTTCGGCAAAGCTTTCATGTAGCTCATTAAAATTTTTCCATGCATTAGAGTCAGCTGGATGCCTCATCACTCCGTCCTCAACTTGTCTTTCATGGTGCCATCTCATATCAAAAGCTGTCTTCGAAGATATGTAAAGCCTTTGCAATCGTGGCTTAAGAGGAAAATATCGTAATGTCTTTTGTGGTATTTTTTTACCACAATCGTGGCTTAAGAGGAAAATATCGTAATGTCTTTTGTGGTATTTTTTTACCATTTGCCTTTCGCTTGATCTCTTTTCCATGTTTATCAAGTTTCCATCTAGAAGCACCACATCTCTGACACGTATCAAGACCTTCTTCATTTTTCCAAAACAGCATGCAAGAGAATGGACACGAA